GTTGATCATGCTGTACATGTTAAGCTCTTTTAATCAACATAAAACGTACAGTGCCATACATACCCCGGTACAGTTTTATTTCTGTGCTTTGCTTTTATTATCTGCACTGTGAGGTACATAGTTTCTCAATGTTTACTTTGTATTTTTATGTTAGGAGTGTGTCAATTATGTGTGCAAGTTTTGTTTTTCCAAAATATTGTAAATAAGAAAACAAATTGAATTCCACAACAAATTAAAAAAAGAACAAAGAGTGTCATTACATTATTTCTTTTAAGAACAAATATTTGTTATTGCCTAATTTGCTACTAGTATGCCTGATATTTGTGGCTGTTTGAATGAAAGAATGAGCTTTCAGATCATGTATATGGTATTTCCAATCAGACACTATTCAGAACCAGACTGGTTTGTAGGTATAAAGTCATGTGACACTAAACATTGGTTGTGATTGGCTACAATGGTTCAAATTAGGGGATTGAACATTCATGACTTGACAATATTATTATTATTTGTAATTTTATCCTTTTATTTTCTTAGATGAAGAATTTGGACAGGAAGTGCCTCCTCTCTATCTTTATTTAAAACGTATTCTTGATAAATATCCTGAAGGCGGACAGATATTAAAGGTGAGTAAATAATTACTTTTCAGTTATATTTCCCTAATGAATCACTGCTATGTTCCCCCTGAAAATTAAAAAAAAGCGTGTTAGGTAAATAATGGTCTAATGTTACACTGTAAATTGGCCTATTATTTGCTCCACTTTCATCAAAGATGACAGAGCGGAGCTGTTTATACAGATGATTATCTGTCATTAGTCAATTACTATTTCCGACTTCTTAAAAACTATCAGCTCGATACTTGGGATGCAGGGCCGGGTCCATGTAGTGTCCAGGGTCTATGAAAATTGTAACAAGATGGTAACAATTGTAATCACCATGGCAACAACCAAAATATCTACCATGGTTGTGATATTGCAAGAACATAATGGCAAATAGTTAATTTCTGATCACACAGAACATTGTCAACTTTGTTTTATGTAAGACACTTTACAAAGACGACATATTTCAACCATTAGGAAATTTTCGTAAAAGAGCAGACCATTTTCTGGACAGTGCCTCAAATTGACATTTTACTATAGATCAGTGCCACAAGACAGTTGTACATGGCTTTGAGTTTGTTACTTTTCAAAATATTATAAATATTTTTATCTTACTGACTTTAGGAGATAATTCAAAATGCTGATGATGCTGGTGCAACCGAAGTGAAGTTCCTCTATGACAATACAGAGTATCCAACAGATGGTCTCTGGTCTGATAAATTAAAAGAATTCCATGGTCCAGCACTGTATGCTTACAACAATGCTGTATTTAAAGACAAAGATTGGTTTAGTATACAAAGACCTGAACAAAGTGGTAAAGCAGATGATCCACTTAAAGTTGGTCGGTTTGGTCTCGGCTTCAATTCTGTTTACCATATCACAGGTACGTTTATGTTTATTTGCCCTATTACAAGTGCATATATCTTGATTGGTAATGTATGTACACCAAAGACCTGAACAAAGTGGTAAAGCAGATGATCCACTTAAAGTTGGTCGGTTTGGTCTCGGCTTCAATTCTGTTTACCATATCACAGGTACGTTTATGTTTATTTGCCCTATTACAAGTGCATATATCTTGATTGGTAGTGTATGTACACCAAAATTGGCATTTATTGTATACTGCACATTAAAATATGTCTTATTTTGACCATAGGCACATCTCTGTCATTTATCTAATCTCATGCACTACTATTGTGACATTGATGAGGTTTTATTCCTTTAAAATCGCTTATTTGTAGATTTAATAGTGAAGGGTTGTATTATTACATCTCAGGGGTCATTCAGAATATTTCAAACAAATGTGGTACTTGGATAATGCTTTAGGATATCCTGTAGACTTTAATAACTAGTTTGGTTTAAACCTGCATACTAATTAGGTAGTTTGCTTCATAAATAGCCAGACTTTTGATTTTTCCTGCTATGAAACTTTAGCAATTTTTAACAATTCTGGATGTCATTCAAGAAGCACTTAAATATATATATTTTAATGAAATTTGGTACATGTATAAGGTTGCCCACATACCTCATTAATGTTCTGTCTGAATCTGTGTATATTAATTATCTAAATTATATAGTATTTATCAAAAATTCAAAATGAAAGTTGACTGAATTCACTATGTACTACTGTTCAGCTATTGGCTTGACATTTGATTTGTTGATTGAATCTGTCATCACCATTAGCAGAGTTTATCATCTTGGAATTGTATGTATGGCTGGTATTTTTGGCTCCTGTGTGACAACTGCAGCTATTCTGTCTGTATATGTGTATGTATATATTGTGATGGGTTTGGGTTTTATCCTCACTGGCGATCAGCATCACAAAGAACTACTGTAAAACATGTTGAAAAAGCGGCATGCAATTTTAGCGAATTGTGGCCATTTTGAATTTATAATAAAAGACATACTCGCGAAAAAGACATGTTTTACAGTATATTATGTATTCACATTACATCACCATATTGTGTCATGTACCCTATCTATATATAGTGTCTTGTGTTTGTTATTTTTTAATTGGCTCTTATCCAATTAGTTTTTTTTTTTTTTTTACTATACCTCAGTTCCTTCACACCCGGTTAGGAAACGCTTTGAGTTCTATTGTCACAATTTATGTTACGAGTTCGTAAAATTAGCTTATCGGTAATCCCCACACTGTCAACATTAACACAACATTAGCATATAATATGACATAATTTTCATCCCAAATACCACGCAATTCATTTCTGCGCAGACGTACACAACTTTATATTCATGTTCCACTGCTTTCATGTTTAAAGTTTCTGACTTCCGAGTACATGTATTTATTTTAACAAAATGCGGGGAAAACACCAATCTGATTAAAATCTGATGTAGTGTATGGGCTTTAATTATTTTGGCTATAAACTTATTTTAATTTTATTTTGTATTACTTTTGTATTTTATTATTTTACTTTGATTTTGTATTTTTGGCTCATCCGGCCTTAAGGCCTGATGAGCCTATGCCATGGCGAGGCAGAAATTACAAAATCCATGAATAAGGATGCCATTCACTGATTCTAGGTTAGCTATTTGTGATATATCTGTATTTTTTCAAGAGAATAAAGTTCATTTAGGCAGTCAATGGGTGCATTCTTTCTTTCTTGATACATTGATTTAAAACCTCCCCCACACGTTTTCTAATGGATTTACCCAGAATGCTTAACGCAATCAGCAGCGCTCTACTTGTGCACATGCGCAGTTAATATTTCTTCCACAATGCATTCGTTATCACGAAATTTAAAATGGTGGATCGTTGCGGTCGCACATGTGGATCTTCTTGGCTATATCCCCACAAAATTGGTGCCGGGAAACCAGGATTCTGCGAGTCGATTGATTCATCTACCAGTCAACTTCCAGGGAAGATCCACATTTCATCCCAACTTTCAAGTTAATCATCGTTATGCCAAGAGCAACAGAGGAACAAAGCAAGGGCACAACTACAAGCCGTCGTCACACCGATTGAAGAGCTAATCACGCAGTACCCTGATGCCAATGACAAAAACGCTGCGTACCGGGAAATACTCGCACGGAAATTAGCTGTCGACAACCGGCTATCAGCGCTAGTCAACGCGGACCAACAAGTCATCGATCATTACGATGAAGACCACGCCGAATTTACCGAGACTGAGTCATATGAAGTCGAAATAATCGCCCGCTTCGCTCGACTTTCACTGTTTGTCGAAGAATTCCAGACTATTCGATTTCAACAACCAGTCATC